TAGGTTACCTTTCACTTCCTCCCTATCTAGGGCTAGTAATCCTTTTGAAATCGTGCATTCCGATGTTTGGGGACCAGTTTTAGAGTCATTTGATGGATACAAATACTTTGTAACATTCGTGGATGATTTCACAAGGATAACTTGGTTATATCTTTTGAAATTTAAAAGTGAAGTGCTGGAAGTTTTTCAAGATTTTCATAGACTTGTAAACACTCAATTTGCTTCAAATATTCATGTCTTACGATCAGATAATGGCTCCGAATATATGTCCCATAATATGTCTCATTACCTAAGCACACATGGCATATTACATCAAACCAGTTGTGTTGGAACGCCCCAACAAAACGGGGTAGCAGAAAGGAAAAATAGAGACTTGCTTGAAAAAACTAGGGCACTGATGTTTCACTCGAACGTACCCAAAAGATTTTGGTCTCAAGGTGTCCTTACTGCTGCATATCTTATTAATAGATTGCCCAGTAAGGTTTTGAATTTTAAATCACCTTATGAGATTCTGAAGGGCAGACAGATAGATTTGTCACACTTACGGGTATTCGGATGTACATGTTTTGTTCACATTCAAGCACAGAAACGTGACAAGCTAGAACCACGAGCTGCAAAATGTGTGTTCTTAGGCTACTCTTCTACTCAAAAGGGTTACAAATGTTACAATCCCACAACTAGGAAGATGGTTGTTTCAAGAGATGTAAGATTTGAGGAACCAATGCCTTACTTCACTCAACCCTTGGACTACTCTCAAGAGGGGGAGAAACTACTTGACTTGTTTCCAATGCCATATCCATGTGAAGAAGACACAACAGATGTCTTAAGGGACCAAACACTGGATGAGGTCCATTCTCAGCCAGTGGTACCTGATGAACTTATCTCATCTGAACCCTCGAGGAGTACTTTCAACCAAGAGACTGCTCAACTACCAGTGGCTCAACCTTCCACAGTTCGTCGAAATCCTTCTCGTGAGAGGAGACTTCCATCCAAGTTAAATGATTATGTGACTTATAATGTTAGGCACCCCTTGACTTCTGTTGTTAATTACAGCAAAGTGTCACCTTCATTTGCTGCATTTCTTAATACAGTTACTGAGACACATGAACCTCGAAGCTTTCAAGAAGCAAAATTACACAGCGAATGGAGAACTGCTATGGCAGAAGAGCTTCAAGCTCTTCACGAGAACAACACCTGGACCATCATGAAGCTTCCCAAGGGAAAGAAGGCTGTAGGAAGTCGTTGGGTGTACAAAATCAAGTTCCATTCAGATGGCACGATTGAAAGACACAAAGCTCGATTGGTTGCTCGTGGATTTACTCAGACTTATGGAGTAGATTACAAAGAGACCTTTGCACCTGTGGCAAAGATGAATACAGTGAGGGTGTTGTTATCTGTCGCCATTAACAATGCATGGCCTCTCTTCCAAATGGACGTTAAAAATGGTTTTTTACATGGGGAACTAGAAGAAGAAGTTTTCATGAAAATCCCCCTGGGTCATCCTCAATCACACAATCCAGACTTGGTGTGCAGACTTCATAAATCCATTTATGGACTCAAGCAAAGTTCCCAAGCATGGTATGCCAAGCTTAGTCATGTCCTAGAGGGAGTTGGTTTCTCTCGAAGCAATGCAGATTCCTCTCTATTTGTGCGATCGGGCACATCTGGTAAACTTGTTGTACTTATTTATGTCGATGACTTAATTGTTACAGGTGATGATGTTTCTGAGATTAGTGACCTTAAGCAATATCTCAGTCACAAATTTGCTATCAAAGATCTCGGCATTCTTAAATACTTCTTAGGAATCGAGGTGGCACATTCTCACAAGGGCTGTTTTCTAAATCAGCGAAAGTACATCATTGATCTCCTTCATGAGGCAAACATGACAGATTGTAAACCTGCTCGAACACCCTTGAATAGCAACTTGAAGCTACAGTTCCATGGTGATCTCATTCCTAACAAAGAATACTATCAGCGACTGGTTGGCAAGCTCATTTACCTAACTATCACTCGTCCTGATATAGCATATGCTGTGAGCCTTGTTAGCCAGTTCATGCATGCTCCAAACACAAATCACATGAAGATCGTTCACCGTGTGCTTCGCTATCTGAAGGGTTCCATTGGTAGAGGGATCCTCATGCGTAATAATGGTCATACTCAGATCTCAGGATACACAGATGCAGATTGGGCAGGGAACTCTCTCGATCGAAAGTCTATCACTGGTTTTTGCACATTCGTAGGGGGTAACCTTGTCACCTGGAAAAGCAAAAAACAAAGTGTGGTTGCACGCTCAAGTGCAGAAGCGGAATATCGTGCTATGGCATCAACGGCATGTGAGCTTACTTGGCTCAAAACCCTACTCTTGGACCTAGGGTTTCCTCATTCGCAACCTATGACACTTCATTGTGACAATCAAGCAGCAATGCACATCGCATCCAATCCTGTCTTCCATGAGCGAACCAAACACATTGAAGTTGACTGCCACTATGTTCGGAATCAAGTGCAGTCCAAGGTAATTGCTACACACTTTGTTCGCAGTCATGATCAGATTGCAGATCTCTTCACCAAAGGACTGCCATTTACCGTTTTTCATCATCTCCTATCCAAGCTCGGATCAATTGATCCCTTTGATCCAGCTTGAGGGGGAGTATTGGAAGAAGTTCTAGGGTTAGTCTAAGTTAAGTCTCAAACCCTAGTCGGCAGACATAGGTGTATGTATGGTGCACTGCAGTCTAACAACTAAGTATGGCTGCCATTGTTGTGTATGGCTGTCATAGTTGTCATTCTCCCTAATTCAAGGGATTTCTACCTTACTTTAGTTGTTAGCTGATTGTACTTATCTTTAGTTGTTGGTAAAACATAAATCAAGGAAAGTGTTGTCCCTTGATTTCTGCTTCCGTTTTCTCCTTTTCTTCCGCTCATATATATGAGCTTTCTTTGTAACTTGTTTCATAATAATGAGAAATAGACATTCAAACTTCAATAGTAAGAAATTAAATCCTCAAAAGTAAAGCATGTGAATCATTTTTGTTGTACATAGGTTGTTAATGTAAAGTTAGTATAATCAAGTGCAAATTGATGATGGGAACAATTTATTTACTCTGGGATTTGTACTTATAAAGTTGCCACTTTAGTTGTACATAATCTCTTAATGTAAATTCAATAGAACATACATACAAAGTGAAGACTTATTTCTATCATTTGGGTTCAACTGCTTTGATCGGTTTCTAAATTATATGGAGATGGATGTTTTAAATTGTGGGTACAGTTTCAAAACCAGCAGCAAAGTGCGGACATCTCTACTTGTTGGCATTTACTATATGTCTACATTAACTTAAAATACGATAAACCGTAACTTAAGGTGGCTCTATATACAATCTTCTATACCAAAGAAAGCAACAAAGGAAAACTTATAGATACAACCAGATGCATTATCTACATCTTAAGTGTAGTAAAAACGCACTTTTACACACTTTTTGTATAATCCAGGAAAATATAATACATATTCTTTATTTGTGCATGACAATTACACAGGAAAAAATAACACAATTTTTGAAGACTCGAGAGTATGATATAAACAATATTACAAATTGATGTGATGAACCGCAGAAACTAGACACAACCAAGAACGAAATCAAACAAGAAAAATCCAACAAGAAGATGAAAATTAAAGAAAACAATGCAACACAAATAAAAAAAGACGTTGCTCCAATATTTACGTATATGTGTGCTAACATGTGTGCAGATAGTTTAAATGAAAGTGCAATTAGTGTGTGTTCGTGTATGTGTGTGTCACTGTGTGCACGCGCGAGTCCTTATGTCCATATATGTGTTTACGAGTGCTGGTCATAGGTACATGTGCAGATGTGCCCGTATATGCATTTTCCGGTCACTGTAATGGCAAGGGGAACTCCCCTACAGCAGCCAAGGCCTCCTTCGACACGGCCAACTTCTCCCTCGAAATATCCAAGTTCTCAAACCCGTTCCTTATTCCCTCCACATTCAGTATCTTCAACAACCTGTTTAGACATTTATCCAAATCGAGAAGTTGCTTGGCGTGTTTATACTTTTTGAAGCTTTTCCACCGGCTAATTAAGCTTGGAGCACTTGAGAACCAGCTCTTCCCCATCCGCTATTTGTCTCACAATCTTTTCCACTTCCTTGTTTGATTGATCCAACACCTTTTTGTATCTCTCTATGTCTTTGATCAGTGGATTTAGCGCTTCTAATGTGGAATCGAGATCTCCGAGGAGCTCTCTAAACATCAGTCTTGTCCTTGACATCCTTAACAACCTCATACAGTACAGTAAATAATGCTCCTACAGCAGCACCTGCAAAAAGTTCCCCAATTCCTCCCATTCCAGCTTCTCTCAAACGAAACCCGACACCGACAAATCCGAAAACTAACTCGTAATCATATCAATCAAAGCTTGAAGACAAGAGAAGACCATAGCAGTATGAAAAAACCCAAATAAAAATGCTCTCTTTATTCTGCTTCAATCCACTGACTTTTACTTTCACCTACCCCCATTGACTTACCAAGCAAATTACAAAGCTGCTTCCTGAGAAACTTCGAATCGGAGCCATTGACTGACCAAGAAGATGCTGGTTCTAAGCAAAATATCACACCTAACTATCACATTCATGGCTTCCGACGAGAGTGTAATTACAATGCATTGATCCAGAGATAAAAAACTAAAATAAATATTTAAAATTTTAAAAACTACCCTGCAACTTGAATCGTTGATCTGATTGACCCCTGCGGATTCTTGCTTCTCCAATTTTGTGGAAGGCAACGCAAACAGTGGTGTGCATGGGTGAATTTCTTGTTTTTCTTTCTTTGGGGACAAGGAATCCTCCTACCAGAACCCAATTCCCATCCCTCTCAGAAAAGTGTTGCGTTCGATTGCAATCGGTCGCAAGTTGGAACCTTTCAGTCGTGTTTTCTTTCTCCAGTCACTGCTCACTTCTTTTCTTAGAAAGAACTGGGAAAATAACGACGAATATTTTATGCTGCTGCTGATATGTGGGGTGAAGTAATAGAGGTCAGAAAGATGATGGATGAAAGAGGGCTGATAAAGAAACCAGGTTTGAGTTGGATCGATATCAAGAGAGAGGTGCATGTTTTCTTAGTGGGAGATACGTCTCACCCAAGATATGATGAAATACATCACTATTTGCATGAGCTTTTGAAGAGGATGAAGGAAGAAGGGTATGTCCCCGACACGAATTTTGTGCTGCATGATGTTGAAGAGGAGCAGAAAGAGCAGAACCTCTCCTACCACAGTGAAAAGCTCGCCGTTGCATTTGGCATTATTTCTACTCCGCCAGGAACACCGATCAAGGTTTTTAAGAACTTAAGAACATGTGTAGATTGTCATACTGCGATTAAGTTTGTTTCTAAGATTGCTAACAGAAAAATTATAGTCCGGGATTCAAATCGGTTCCATTGTTTTGAGGGCGGGATCTGGTCATGTCGAGATTTTTGGTGATTTGACTCACTCGGTAATCTGTAAAGCATTTTATTTGAGTAGGATTACAGAAACATAAGCTTAATGTCTTCTGTGCAATCTGGGAGCTTCCCACATTTTGTTCTGAGTGGAAAGAACTAGAATCTGATTTTTTTACATCTTCAACACCCACGTGCAGAGATGATATCATTGATATGATAAATTTTCTCAAATTAATAGCAAATAGGGGTGGGCACTTAGAACAGCAAACCGAAACCGAAACACAAATCAAATAGTATCACACCGAACGGTTTGGTTTTGCGTTTTTGAAACGATTTGGATAACCACATTGTAAGAAACGGTTTGGTTTCGGTTTTGGCTTTTGAAAACCGCACCAAAACCGAACCTCACTGCAAGTATTAATAAACATTTAATTAAATGTTTATATTAGATGTCATGTTTTAACTGATATTTGTTAGAGTCCATACATTTAGCATGGACTCAACCACGCTAGAATATCATCATTCATCACTTTTTTTAATAGTTGTGTCTTGCAAGTTTGTTGTAGGGTTGATATTGTCCAAATTTTAGATGAAAATGGATTATCAAAATATCCTCACTCAATCACTTATTGTTGACAGGGATTCATTAATTAATCTACTATGTAGAAAATGAGACTGTTTTATGCGTAGATAAGTATAAATTTTAAATTGTAATTTTTTTTTTTAAATCGACCCGAAACCGTTTGAAACCGCACCGAGCTTTCTAACCCAAACTTCTTCCTACATTATTTCTTGCTACACAAGAATGTGACCAATGCAAACTCTTTCACTCAACCCTAGAATCCAATACACCTACACGCATTTTTTTCACATTCATAGCTTCCGATGAGAGTGTAATTACAATGCATTGATCCAAAGATAAAAAAATAAAATAAATATTTAAAATTTTAAAAACTACCCTGCAACTTGAATCATTGATCTGATTGACCCCTGCGTATTTTTGTTTCTCCAATTTTGCGGACGGCAACGCAAACAGTGGTGTGCATGGGTGAATTTCTTGTTTTTCTTTCTTTGGGGACAAGGAATCCACCTACCAGAACCCAATTCCCATCCCTCTCAGAAAAGTATTGTGTTCAATCGGAATCAGTCGCAAGTTGGAACCTTTCAATCGTGTTTTCTTTCTCCAGTCACTGCTCACTTCATTTCCTAGAAAGAGTTGGATAAAATAACGAGGATTTTTTTACCCAGAAAAGTAACTAACTTTTAAAATAATAGTCAATTTACTGGTCTGCCCTTCTTTATTTATTATCTTTTAGCTTTTGGACCGCTACATGAACAGGGTATAATTGGAATATAACAAAATTTCCCAAATAAACCCAACTTACTTCGACCAAAAAACTTTCCACCGAAAAATTTTAGCCCATTTTATCAACTTGGGCCTATAAATTGTTAGCTTAAGCTGCTCTTTTGCGCTCGAACGGACAAAAGAGAATGGTTGAGCTTTTCAAAATTATTGGCTTATTTTTAGCTACGCTATTTAGAACTCGATTTCAATCTCATTTTACTATTTAAAATTTAATAGTCATTACTTGACTCTCTAGAACTCGATTTTGATCTCACTTTGTTACTTGAAACTTAAAAATTGTCACTTTACTTCCTGAAACTCGATTTTGATCTCATTTTGTTTCTTGAAACTCACCACTTTATTCTTTGAAACTCAAAATTTGCTCTACATTGCCTCGTTTCTATTTTTTTTTTTTTTAATAAGTCCATCCACTCAAAATTTATAATTAGTAATATGCCAAATTTCTCCTGAAATAAATGAATAGTAAGAAAGAACAAAAAAATTCATCTTCATTCTTCACTAGCCACCTCTATTAAGATCATAAGAAATAACAAAATCAATTGAACAAATGATAAGGTGGTTGGAGATGGAGGGAGAAGGAATGAATGTATGGACAACAATTAGAGAGAGGAATTGAAGAGATGAAACCCATGAAATGTTTTTGCTATTTTTCTTACTTTTTCTTTATATATATATATATATATAGGTATACAACATTTTAAAATTAAATTTTCTTTTGTTTATTTTGTTTCAATATATGTGGTACTATTTGATTGAACATGTGAGCTTTATACTTGTGCCATGTCAATAAAAAATGGAATCTAATTATGCCACATAAGAAATTCGAGAGTCTAGTGCATTTAATATCCTTTTTGAATTTTCTTGGTTATTTAACGAAATACATAGAAACAAGCTAAAGTGGAGTGAATATTGAGTTTCATGAAGTAAAGTGGTAACTTTTGAGTTTTAGGGGGCAAAGTGAGATTGAAATCAAGTTCTAGGGAACAAAGTGACAACTTTAGAGTTTCAAAGAATTAAATAGGATCAAAATCAAGTTCCAGAGAGCGTAGCTAAAAATAGCCAAAATCATTTAGTTAAATCCATAACCGTAAGATACTTTGGTGAAGGATCCATCATTTAGACACTTTGGCGAAGGATCCATCAACTGCATTTAGACACTTTGGTGATTCCATAGCCATAATGCGCGTATGGAAAGCAACCGTCAAACCATAAATATTACAAGCCAGTGCAACATGTAGAAAGAAACAGGCAAGCATACAAAGTGAAACACGACAAGGAATCTATCTTGGGAAAGCAAGCAAACGCGTCCCACGAAAGCAAAAGGGTACATTCATAAAATTCAAAGTCTTCCATGCAAAAGTCTAAGACTTTAACATGAGACTATTTTCCCTACATGCTATCACGCAAAACACATGCATCTTTCCCTACACATTCCATGTTATAAAATCCCTATAAGATCTAGCCAGGAAAAGTATGTTACACGCATATCCAATCAAAACAGGCTATATGCAGTCAAGCTAATCATGCCAAGCAAATTGATGCAATCAATCCATCGGTCCTAGTTAAGTACGCATCAACACGCAAGCAAGCTAAGTTCGACGACAATTGCACAATATACATCAAAAGAAGGAAAGAAATCACAGAACAAGCGCAGAAGATTTCAAAGCAGCAAGACTACCCAAGGAGTGGAGTTCAATTTCTCGAAGGAAAAACCCGCACCCCTTGTGTGTCCATACTAAAACTCTAAAATCTTTGGAACCCATAATCAAAGAGAAAAGACGCATGCCTAATTCCATCACCAGGGAAAACAGAGAAGGCAAAAAGAAAAAGAAAAAGAAAAATCCTAGGGAGGAGAGCAATTTGTAACGGTTACTAAGTGGAGATGGGGAATATCCAGAGTTTCTCCATATGATTGGACGTGCACGAGAAGTAAACGAGCAAAATGTCAGGGAATAATCAGCTACCACACGGGAAGAGGAAGAGTCCCATCAAGAAGCTCACTTTCAAAAAGGAATCCCTTGGGCTTGGGGTTGATTATTCAGCCTACTCAAGATTTCTCATAGCCTAAATAATCAAGGGGCTAATGTTGGGGTCCAAAAATGTCACACACTAATCAAGCCAAGTCTCAAGGCCCAATTGTCATGCAAAACCTACATTCAAGCCCAAACACATGTCAAGGCACGAGATTAATGAGGAATATATTTACAAACATGCTATGCCACGGTGATTAAGCCGGATATTCACGACATGCTCATTCATATTCATCACGACATGCTTCCTTAGTCATTAATCATGCTAAGCCCAAGCCACATATTCGAGGCTTATCAAGTGGATTGTGGTGTGGATGGTTACAGAAGGTTATCGGGCCTACGTGAAATCAGGGCCGTGTAAGACTTTGGGTTGCTTGGGGCCCAAAGATCCAAGCCCATATCCTTTGCATTCCACACAGGCATCATTGGGAGAAAATTAGCCTAGTTTACCCCTTTCCCTAGCAAGCTAACTCCTTTAGATAGAACTAAACTATATTCTTGCATTAAATGCATGCTAAGCCTAGCAAGTCAGGCATTTAATGCTGACTTTTCCTTCCCAGCATGCACAGACAGCCAAGGCGTGAAAGTTGTGAAGCGCACTACCAGAATTAGGGTCTGCGGAAGGCAGCCCTGGGAAAGTCGTGTCTCGGGAAGAAGTAAACTGCATGTCTTAACAGTGTAGCTATCTTATACCAAAATGGGAATAATAGGAAGCCTAGGGAGAGAGAAGGGAAAGACCAAGCCACAATGGGAGATTCCTTTGAAGCCTAGAGAAGAACCCTTCACTTACATAATGAGGGACAGAAGCCATTAGAGGGGGGATCATAGGGTAGAATAGAGAGAGAGATATAAGAGAACGCAAGAGAGAGAACCATCCAGGAAATAAGCCCAGAGAGTTCCATTTAGTCTAAAAGCATACTTCAAGCCTCAAGCATCACCATTCATTCAACCTTAGTAATTCGCACAGCCTTCCATCAAACATCTCAACCATTAGAAGCCTTACTATCACCCTAAGAAAGCCCAAATCACCCAGCAAAGAATGTCATGCAATCATGCAAATCCCTTCTCTCTCATGCAAACTGATAATCTTCTAGCTTCAACACCATGCTTCACTTAAGAAAGTCATTATCTTGATCAATCGTGTCATCTTTGAGTCGTTGATGTTACCGGGGTATTTCCTAAGACAAGCTAACTCTTTCGAGATATTCTAGGACTTGGTACGAATCCGCACTAAGGGAGACAATAAGACGTTCTCAAAGCCCAAGCTCATCTCGACCTAAAAAGTCCCCCAACATTTATCAACATTAAAATTTTTGTGCATATGCTTTGAAAACATAAGGAAATTATGTGCTTCCCTACTGATCATATGAGATCTGTCATGTTCAATGCACATACGAATTAAAGTTTTTGAACTCTTATTTTCTTTCCAAGCACTTCTCCCTGCAATACATTGCACCAACACCTATTGATTGGATAAATAAAAGGAAAATCAATAAAGATTTGAACAATGAAAAGTGCAAACATGTTATATACAATAATACCAATGGTGGATAATTATAGTAATCCTACAGTGTGGCCATGTATTTACAAACACATACAACATAAAATAGTAGTAAATTACAAAAGAAAAATAACATTACACACAATCACACTGCATACATTGTACCAACACTCATTGATGGAAGGACCATGGCCTTAGGGTGGAAGCTTGTTGAGCCAATTTAGGTTGATATCTTCTTTGATCACCTTTATGTGTATGTTTATGAGAAATGGTAAGAAGGGTTCCCA